TTAATTTTTGGAGTTCTATGTTTACATTATCATACAGATCCTTGATGTTTGTCGAAGATTAAAATAAATTTGTATCGTCTGCAAACATTATAAATTCAAGTTTGGTAGAAACTTTTGGAAGGTCGTTTATATAGATTAGGAACAAAAGAGGAGCTAGAATCGAACCTTAAGGAACACCGCAAGTTAATTTTAATAATTTACTGTGATAATTATCATCTGTAATAACACACTGTTGTCTGTTATACAGGTAACTTTTAAACCACTGCAGTGTATGGTTTTTTAATCCGTATTTTTCCAACTTTTTTAGTAGGATTTAATGATTTATTGTGTCTAACGCTTTTGACAAGTCTACAAAGACTCCTAATACGAACTTCTTTTCATAGATTGATTCTCTAATCCTATCGACGAGGTCTACGATAGCATGCTCTGTCGAGTGCTGAGTTTGAAAACCATTGGTTTTCATTCAGGATTTTGTTTGTGGTTAGGTATTTATATAAACGATTGTAGATTATTCGTTCGAGCAGTTTTGAAAATACGGGAAGGATTGATATTGGTCTGTAATTATTTAAGGAGGATGTTTCTCCGGATTTATAGATAGGAATAATTTTAGCTATTTTTAAATAGTCGGGTACAATTCCTGTAATTATTGAAGAGTTAAATATTTGAAAAATGGGTTTACTTATTTCTGGGAAGACATTCCAAATTGTATTGGCTGGGATATTGTCAATACCTGGGCCTTTGTTAATTTTCAATGTTTTAATTGCTGTTTCAAGTTCTTCGTTTTCTAGTTCTTTAAAAACTTGGGAGCAACGAGAGTCCTCGATGTGATTCTCAAATGAATTGTTTGTAGGTTGAATTTTAGAGGCGAGTTTGGAACCTATACTTGCAAAGTATTTTTTAAATTTTTCAGAGATAATTTTTTTGTTATTAAACTCTTTTTCATTTATGAGAACTTTTGGAGGTAGTTGGTTCGAGTTTTTTTTTATCTTTACCAATTATTTCTTTTATAATATCCCAGATTTTTTTGTTATCTCCTTTAAATTTTTATATTTGCTTTGAAAAATATAGTTTTTTGGATTTTAACTTTATTTTCTCAAATAGATTTTTATATTGTTTATACTTAGACAAAATAACATCGTTTCTATTTTTTAGATATTTTATGTAGAGTTTTTGTTTTGCTTTGACGATTTTCTTATTCCTTTGGTAATCCATGGAGTGGTTAGGTATTTTGCTTTAATTTCTTTTTCGACCTTTGGAAAATGTTTATTGTAGAGATTTAGGAAAATTTTTATAAACTTATTGTGAGCGGAATTTGTGCGTCCGAGGTAACATTCATGATTTTTGACCAGTTTATTACCGCTAGTGATTCTTTTAGTTTTTGGGTCGAAAATTTATTTCTTATGATGATTTTATTTTTAAGTTATTGACACGTGTTGTTTGTTGTAATAGTGAGAAGTAAATTGGGAAGTGGTCAGATATATCCGTTTTAATTATTCCTACTTTTAAGGATGGATCTTGAATTGAATTTGTCAATATATTGTCAATAGCTGTAATTGAGGTGGGAGTTACCCGGGTGGGTTTGTTTATAATTGGGAAAATGTAATGTTGCATCATATCATTGAAAAAAAATTTGGTGTTAGTGTGTTCATGATAGCTTAGGTAATTTATGTTCATGTCACCAATACAAAATAGCTTTTTATGTTCAACATTGCTTTTGTATATATTTGTTTCATAAAATTTGAAAACATTATAATATCTCCGTCGGGCGGTCTATAACAAGAGGATATAATTAGCTTTTTTGTAGTATCATTAATGACTTCAACTGTAAAGACCAACTGTAAAGACTATTTGAATCAGAAATAGAAAGATCATTTCTAATTTTTGTGTTTAAGTTATTATGGATGGAGGTTATTATTCCACCTACTCTTTTGTTAGCTTTTCTTTCATAAGAAATAAGATTATAATTAGGGATTAGGAGGTTTGAATTTGTATAAGAATTTTCGTCAGAACACCAAGTTTCTGTAAGACAAATCATGCTAAAGGAATATTTGCATTCGAAAAGGAAAATTTTTAACTTACCGATATTTGTATTTAAGCTCCTGGTGTTTATGTGCATTACCGTAAACTCATCTATATTGTTATAAAGTTCAGCTTTAAAAGTTTTAGTATCAAAGTATGGAGAGTCAGGTCCATTAAAAATAAATAAATCATCGTAGTATAAATCATTCGCAAAGATATTATTTTTAGTTTTAAAAAAGTCTAAACGCAACTTATCAAATTTTTTGTTATAAAATCATTAGCCATGACGAAAAAAGAATTAAATCAATTTTTTTTTTTTTTTTATAGAATTCGATTTGAGTAAGGTTATTTTTAAAAGCTTTGGGTTTGTTTTGGCATATTTTGCTATATAGTGATCAAAGTTTTCAAGGTAAAAACACGAACTAAGAAAAAGAAATAAAAAAAGTATTATTTGGGAATGTTTTCTTCAAGTGTCTTTTTAAAAATTGTTTGCTGTTCTTTTACATTCCAACATTGAACCACGTGTACCAAAATATGAAGAGTAGCTTCAGGAATTACATCCTCTAAGACTTTAAGTTTTACTTTTTTTTTAACCGCATTAAGGTTTTTATATTCAGTTTATGATTATCAAATTATTCTTTTATATCATCTAAAAAAGAATATTTAACTGAACAGTAGTTAAGTTGGGAGTTAATGATTTTACTTTATTGTTTAAAAGGTGGTTTACTTTATTGTTTAAAAGTTTACTTTATTGTTTAAAAGGCGGATAAATAGATTTATTTTGTTTTGATGTATATAATTTGACATCGCTTTAATTTTAAATAGAGAGTGTATATAGTTTTTACTATACTTGGAGACATTAAAAATTTATTTAACTGCGTTCCTTCCAAATGTGTCGAGTCTTTTCATTGTTGAATCTTTATTTTCACAGAGCTCTAGACCGTGGGTTAACGTCGGAACTGCTAATGATTTATTTAAATGGATAATAGATCTTGGATGTGCAAACCGGATTTCAGATTGAACAAGAGTTTGTTTTTTGTTTTTTTTTAATTTTATTTTATTTTGCTGTTTATATAAATTACAATTTCCTTTTACCAAAAATAAAATATATTTACAAATGTACTAATAATAAACAGACAGGGGCTCAAAAAAGATATCGATGTCAAAATACCAACCTAATCTTTTCATAGAGCCCCTACTCATCATAACAATAATATATGGTAATATATGGTTAATAAATCAAGTCGAAAATTTAGGAAAAAAGAAATAGTAAAAAAGAAGATATAATATTTAAGAATAAAAATAGAAAAAAAAGAAGATGTATCACATATACACACATACACATATACACATATACACACATACATATACACCATATATATGTATATATATATATAATATATATATATATATATATATATATATATATATATATATATATATATATATATATATATATATATATATATATATATATAATATATATATATATATATATATATATATATATATATATATATATATATATATATATATATATATATATATATATATATATATATATATATATATATATATATATATATATATATATAATGTTTTATGATACAAATAGTTAAAAAGATATAATATTAATAAATACTAATAGTCACAAAAAGTTATAAAAGAAGATATAATGCAAAAAAAATTTTTTTTTTTGTAAACAAAAATAAAAATTAATCCGTAAGATTTAGGCACGGTCGTTTAGATATTAGAAAAAAGCGTTAAGTTTAGGTACGCATACGTCAATGTTTGTAAAAAAATTTAAAGTTTTTAAAATGGCTACGGTTCATAGATACAAAGTAAATTTTAGATGGCAACCATTTATTTTCATTTTTTGGTGTTCTGTTCAGTATTGTAAACTTTTTATTTTTTTAAATCAATAGATCATAATTTAAAAAATTAGATCATAATTAAAAAAAAATAGATCATATTAATCAATACATATCATATCAATCAATCATATCGATCAATAGATCATAATTAAAAAAAAAAAAAATAATTTTAATATTAAGCAAATAAAATATGTTTACAAACCAATTAAAATCCGCATATTTGTATTTTTGCGAAAGCTATTTTGCTGTAGAACTTGTTTATTTTTTTGAAATAAATTTTCAGACTTTCTAACTGTACGATTTAGAAAATTTTTTTTTTAACTTCTTTTATATTCTTTTCTTTATAGTTGATTACTTTTTGGTCGTTGCTTAAATTTAATTTCGGTATAAAAATATATTTTTACTCGTTTGTGTAGTTAAATAGTATGATTTTTCTAATAACTTTGTTTTGGTGCATTTTATTCGATCATGTTATAAAACTAAGGATCAATAAATGTGAAAAATAAAACCAAATACTATAACTTAATTTACTACTTGAAAAGTAATGCTTGCTTACATAAACTTTGTAAAATAGAAACACACACACAGATATATATATATATATATATATATATATATATATATATATATATATATATATATATATATATATATATATATATATATATATATATATATATATATATAATATTGCTAGATATAAATTTGTAAAAAAGTGATTGAAAGAATGATTATCTGATCTAAATTCTGGGCACGTAAATATTTTAAAGAATTTGTTCAAAATGGGTAGGAAGAAGGCAGTATATAATGAACGATACCCTTAAAATCAAAATAGAGAATGTTTTTTTGATTAAAATTACAGATATAGAAAATGTTCATCCAAAAAAAATGTGTCATAAATGCTATTGTACAATTAATAATGCAAACAGCAGTAAAACAACAACATCACTTGCTATATTTGTGAACTGGCTGCCACATGAAAGAAATTGTATAACATGTTAAATGGCTGAAGAAGTGCAAAATGGGACAGTTTGTACACGTTTAATTAAAAAGAAGGCTAACACACCAAAGAATAAATTACTTCTACCTAGAAAATTTAAAAGCTAAATAATGATCTAAATCCTTTCTTAGAGCTGTGTTTATGCTCTATTTGTTGTAAAGTACCACAAGCACCTGTTACATTAAAAGATGCGAGCACTTGTTCTGTTTTTTTTGTCTTGCTAAAGAAATGAAACTAAGTTATATTCATGAAACTTTTTGCCCAAAATGTAAAGAAAAAATATATTACAATGGTTTGTTGACTAGTAAGCAAACTGATGCTCTTTTCAAAATGTTAACACTAGTATGTTTTTTATGCATTACTAAATTCAATGCATTAAAAGAATATGAGTTTTATCTTGTTTATAAAAGTAAATGTGATAAGGAAAATACATCATTACAGTCATCACCAGCAACATCGCCTAAAAGTAACAGTATTAGTGATGTATTTAAAATAAATAAAGATAATATTCCACAAGAACTAGAAGAAGCAGCGCTTCATATTATTACACTAAAAATAAAAAAATCTGGAGAGAATGTAGCTGAGTTTAAAAGTGGTGGTCCTAGAGTAAGTGGTGGTCCTAGAGTTTTTTATTTGTTAAGTAATAATCAGTAATAGTATTTGTAAATTTAAAATGAAATAATCTATAAAATAAATTATTGCACTTTGTACTTTTCAGCCAATAATATTTACACAGACACCAAAAGCTTATGTCAAAAGCGACCAGGCATCAATATCTACAATACGACTTTGTAATAACAATATTACAAATCATTTAGAAATTGTAACAGGCAATTTAGGTGATTCAGTTGTAAAGCAAACAAATAAATTAATAAAATCCTTTACCAGACAATCAGAGACCAGACAATCCATATTAAAAAGTGCAAAGATTAACCACACTGATATAAATGCAAGTGTAATGGTAGCTATGAAAACAGACATGGGTCTTTCATTGGAAAAACTTAAAATAATGTCCATGTAAGTTGATAAATATGATAATATTGATATTGAAATATCTTAGTATGTGCATTTTTTGTACTTTGTAGTTTTATTTTTTTCCAGATGGCTCAAAACATTTGGTATAAACACTGCATCAAATGATTCACAAAGAATGGTTGCAGAAAGTTGGTCTGGAAATGACATAATTGTTGAAAATGCTCCTTTCACATTTCAAAAAGAAGAAAAAAATTTTGAAATTAAAGAAGCTCCTTGGGGTTATATTACTGATTTACGTAAACATATTTTTAGATATCTTGAAAAATTGGAAAGGTATGTTTATTACTTCAAGAAAATTTTATGTGTTATTAATCTTAGAAAAATACGTCATATGTCAGTTTTTTGTTTAAAACAATTATTTTCGTTGTTTATTTACAGCTTAATGTTCTACAGTAAACTTTACTTTTTATTTACATATTATTTTAGTTGTAATGGTCTGGTGCATCATAAGTTCATTCCAGATAAAGAAATTCAAATAAAAATAGGAGGAGATTATGGTGGGGGTAGTTTCAAGATGAGCTATCAGATTGTCAATACTCTAAACCCAAACAGTATCGAAAATACGATTGTTTTTAACATGTTTGAAGCAAAGGACTACAGAGTAAATATTAAAGTAGCCATGACAAGATTTCAAAAACAAATAGAAGACCTCCAAATAATTAAATATAAGTATGTTATAAGTATGTTCTAAAGTATATATATATATATATATATATATACTTTAGAATATATATATATATATATTCTATATATATATATATATATATATATATACAGGGCCGGCGCGAGTAGGTGTCACGTGGGGGGGTGCCATTACAACTTTTGCCGACTAAAAAAAAAAAAAAAAAAAAGTCCTCGTTTTCCAAAATTTGCCGACATTTGCCGACTGTCTAACCTATATCGAAAGGGGGTCCACATTTGCCGACTAACTAGGTCCAATTTGCCGACTAAGGGTCCAATTTGCCGACTAAGGGTCCAGTTTGCCGACTAAAAATCATTGATAGGGGGGTGTCACACCCCCCACACCCCCCTATTGCGCCGGCCTTGTATATATATATATATATATATATATCTCCCCCCCTCCCCTCTCACTCTTGTTTAATAATGTAATTAATCTTGTTTAATAATGTAATGTAATTGATTAATCTTGGCTTATTTTATTAATGTTTTGTAGTGTTAATCAGTGTATAGCTTGTTTTCTTGTTTCTGAGGTTAGCGCGCTTGCATCAGAAACAGATCTTTAGTTCAAACCCATCTCTGAGCAGGTATTGCAGCATCGGTTAGGAAGAGGTGTGTTATCTTTCTGTTAAATGCTATTCTGCGGTGTTTTGTGGTAAGACCGTAAGGACTTCTTGGGGCACCTAAAATAAATGATGACACGCCCAATGGGACACAGGGGTTCTAAAACAGTGGTTTTGCTGCGTATATATTTTATGGACGCCACTGATACAACGGATACTGCAACTTTTCCTTAGGGGTGTCCACACTACATATACACACAAAACGACGGACTTGAAAGTCGTTGAAAGGATACAGATGTGACTTTTGTGACATTAAACTTTTCTTAAGGGTTGTCCACAAATTTCGTCACGCAATTTTTGACCATTTTGGACTCATTCCTCCCCTCTCCCCCCACCCACCCACTTTGTTAAAACATCTTAACTCTTTAGTAACCAATTCCGTATGAGTCGTTGCAAAACCACTAACCCTCCCCTTTCCCCTTCAAGCTCCCCACCACCTAAAGAAAAAACCCATAATTCTTAGTATCCACCCTTGACGTACGCATTATTAACTACAAAATCAAGACCCCCCATGCATATTTTTAAAACATTAAAAACAAAGCATGTCAAAACTTTTTGTTAGTTCAGCATTGCAAAGCATTAAAAATAAATAAACAAGCTCAAAACTTTTTTGTTGATTTTTTTTCAGTATTTATTTAAAAATATAGGTTATTAAACAGATGACAGGGCCGACGATACGGAGGGGGTGAGGGCAGGGGGCACGTGCCCCCCCCCACTTTTTTTTTAAAGGACCTTTATTTTTTATTTTTTATTTTTTTTAATATAAGAAAATTCTAGATATAGACGACTTTTTTTAAGAATTGACGGTTGTGTCAACCCCCACTTCAAAACCAGTGTTGTTGGCCCTGGATGAGTTAAACTCATCATTTGTATAATATTATTAGTTTAATTGAAGAGCTAAAACTATATTAGAGTATAATTTTAATATATTATTATATACTCTATAAATCTCTCTAAGCTTAAAGTTAATAAAAGAAAATAAGTTTATAAAATAACTTTTAGTTATATTAAAAAAAAAAAAAGTTTTAAACCATTTATTTATCTGGTACAAAATTTTAAAAATTGTATCATTCTGTCAAACTATTGATTGATTGAAATTTTGTATTTAATGAAGTATTGAACTTTTGAAATTCATTAATAATATCAATCTGTAGATTAATGGCATCCAAATTTATTACAATTATACATACAGTTTTTCTTTAGACAATCATAGTTTTTAAATCTCTGTTTTTAAACATTTAAAAATTAAAATCGAGTTTGAGCTTCTGACACATATGAACATGATACTGTGTTTTAAATGATCAAAACATTTCCTTGAAGTGTTTTAAGAAGTTGTCTAAAAAAAAAATTTAACAAAATAATAATAATTTAGGAATGAACTTGCTTCAAAGTTATCATTAAATCTTAAAACAAAAAACCTTTTACACAATGAAAATACATTTATAAAAAATACTTAAATTTAAAGTATTTTTTACAAGACCATAACTGCCGTCATAATCGTTGATCCAATATTTCAACCTATATATAAAAAACCGAGTAACTTGTTTAACTTTTAGTTTAATATGAGTTCAAATTAACTTTTAACTAATGAGTTCAAGTTAATTTTTAAACTTTAAAAATATGTAAAATCTGGTTTCAGCTTCTGTCACGTAAGAACATGATAATGTGTTTTTAAAGATCAAATTGTTTTCTTAAAGTGTTTTATAAAATAATCTAGGGAAAAAATATAAACAAAATAATAAATTTGAATCAAGAAAATTTAGGAATGAACTTCTTTCACTGTTTTCAATAAATGTCAAACTATATAATAAAAATTAATACTAAAAAAGGGCACCTTTTAGACAATGAAAACTAGAAAGAAGAAGAGAAAATAGTACATACTAAGTCAGCTATTAAATTAACCCCCACTTTTATCTCATTTGGAATATAATATTGGAACAACTAATATGATGATAGTTATATAGTCTTCTAAAAACAGTACATATAAAAAATAGATGTATTTTAGATTTAGTATATGTAAAAAAAACAAGTAACATTTTAACTTGATTATTTTTAGTTTAATATGAATTAGTAAAATCAACTTAAATTTCATGTAAGCTATGTATATTAATGTGTTTCTAAAAAATGCTTGTCTCGTTTGCTCTTTTTAATTCCTGAAATATAATAAACCTTTACATACCTTATACTTATGTAAACTGCTTATGTAATATTGCACATTGCTCTCTCTCTCTCTCTCTCTCTCTCTCTCTCTCTCTCTCTCTCTCTCTCTCTCTCTCTCTCTCTCTCTCTCTCTCTCTCTCTCTCTTTATATATATATATATATATATATATATATATATATATATATATATATATATATATATACATATATATATATATATATATATATATATATATACACATATATCCCTAATTTTATAACATAGTTGATTAAAATGCACCAAAATAAAATTCAAGAAAAAACTAAGCTCTTAACAAGCTAAACGAGTTAAAATACATTTTTAAAGAAAAATTAAATTTAAGCAACAACCAAAATAAGGTCAAAGTATGAAGAAAGTAATAATAATGATAAAGAATTTTTTTTTTTAATTTGTACAGTTAGAAATTCTCAAAATTTATTTTAAAAATATAAACAAACCACTCAATGTTACAAATAAAAGTTTTGACCAAAATACAAATTATAACTTAATAATTAAAATAATAAAATAATTGATTAGCGTATTTATTTATTTACTAATACAAAAAAGGCTTTTACTTATTGATTTTTATCAGTAATATGGTAGCAAGATTAATTCTAACAAAAATAAACTAAAAATAACAGTTGCTATATAAAAAAGATTATGTAGCTAAGAACCGCAGCCATTTTAAAAACTCTGAAATTTCTATAAACTTCTGGCACATGCGCACCTAAACTTAACGCTTGTAAACGACCGTGTAGAAATGAGAGGTACATTTAAATTTAAAAATTTAAATGTACTTCTCATTTAAATTTTTATTAAATTTACTTATGTAAGTTAAATTTACTAATAGTAAATTTGAGAACTGCTTTTTTTCTGTTTGTGTTTATATTTTGTCATAGACAATGGTATTGAATTGTAAAGTAAACTCTCTTAGTTATAGTAAATTTGAGAACTGCTTTTTTTTTTTGCTTGTGTTTACATTTTGTCATAGACAATGATATTGAATTGTAAAGTGAACTCTCTTACTAATAGTAAATTTGAGAACTGCTTAGTAAATTTTGCAATCTTTTTTATATATTTGATAATTTTTAATTAGAGTTTGAATTATATCACGATTCTGTAAAACAAAGAACATCAGGATTATAAGTTTCACACAGATTTCTAACTTCATCAATTTTATTATTTAAAGATGTCGCATAAGTATACTAACACGACAACACTGTTTCAAGAAAGCCTTAATTAATTGAGGTCAGTGATGGATCCAAGAGGGATGGGGATAGGTATGGGGATGGGGTGTATGCATCCCTTCCCTTCAGAATCTAATAGTCCTAAAAAATTTTAGAAATAGAGGACGTATTTTTTTTTTTAGAAGACGCAAATATGATACAAAATATAAAGATATTTCAACATCCACACCCCTGCCTCCAAAAAAATTCTTGGATATTGATCCACTGATGTCGCCAGTATCTTATTCGAATCTTATGATTCACTACCTTTTAAATTAAGATCGCTATTATTATTACAAATTGAATTCGCAATAAAAGCTTCATTTGCTAGTCTATCTATAACTTGTCTTTCTCTTAACTTAGTTTCAAGTCCATTTAGTTGTTAAAGATATTTTAATCATACTTATTTATTTATTTATTCTTTCATCACCCAAATTACAGGTAAAAAATGCAAAAGCCATAAAACTAATTGTTTATACTCTAAGTTAAAATTCTAATTTAGATTCTTCTTTGAATGCTTTCTTCCTACTGTTATTCCCATAATAAAAATCCATAATTTTATTATTTATTAACCCATATCGATCCAGCGTTCTCAAATGGGGACAAATAAATAATTTGGTGTTTTGCTAATTCTGTTAATTTTATTTAATTGATATAAAAATCAGCGTTCTCAAATGTGAATATTTATTTATATCCTCGAAAGTTATTATTAATACTCTTATTTTGCGAAAATATATTTTTTCCTGTGTTCACATACGTTGTTACGTTTAGTTACGTTTGAAGCGATGAAATCTTAAAATTTTTGGTTTATCCGCACCAATTTTATCAAACATTTTATCAATTGCATATCTATCATCGGCATGTTTTTTGGTTATCAGCAATTTACTTGATTATTCTATTGAAAAAACAATGACATTTTTTTGTTTGTTTTATATCACTCAAGTGATAATAACAATAAGTGATATTAACACTGAAAATGACGTT